AGATTAAATCGAAGGTTGTCACGTGTGACTTGAAGGATCATCGCTATAAACAGAGATTTATTTTGTCTATAAATGCCACGTTCGATGAGGCTTGATCATTGAAACCTAACACTAAGTTCCAGATCTAAATTATATATATATATATATATATATATATATATAGTTAAATTCCCAGATGAATTCTGTGGACAAGACAAATTGGCATCAAATGACAAGTGGAAAAAATCTTGATGCCAATATGGGAATTTAACTATATTGTCGACATGGAAAAAAAAAATAATCCCTTACTATAAAGGTAATTAACATTAAACAAAAAAAAAAAAAAAAAAAAAAAAAAAAAAAAAAAACGACTTAGATACAAGCGTCTATCTTTTTAAATTTGGATTTTTAATGTAACTATAACAACAAAAACATTTCGATTTCATTTTTGCCTTGAAAAAGTCGGAAGACGAAACGCGCCGGCAAAATGTAAGATTTTTTCCACTTGTCATTTGATGCCATATATATATATATATATATATATATATATATATATATATATGATGCATGTTTCATTAAATAATATAGACAAGTTTTGTCTATTTATTTTATGTAATTTATTTTCATATCGTCTGATAAGCTTAATAACATTATCATTAAAAGAAGAAAGAAATTCACAATATTGAAACATATTTTTTAATCCTATCTAAGCTTTAACGACGCTTGACACTACATTTGAATGATAACTAACATTTTTAGGCATTTAAACCAACATGCCTGGCCGCATACACAATTCCGGAAAGTCCTTGTTGAAAACACAACTATACTTAAAGATGAAAATAATAAACAAAAACTGAAAATTCTTGAAGCTATATATATAAAACTGTTGAAATCTAACCTGAACAAAATAAACTATGAAATTTCCACAAATATTCTTAAATGCCTATAATTGATAACAGAAGCCATTGGTTTATACCAGCGGCTTCCCATACTTAATACTTCTCGTTTTCACTCTCGCGTGGTCATGTGTGACGCCATGAGCTGCGGTGCGATTTTCGCTTCCAGCGTCTCGTATGCACGAATTTGTTGTTGCTTGTAAATCTTTCATGTAAACAAAAACAGACTATCATTATTGTTTTGTCCGTGTATT